ATCAAAGCCTTCAAACGAAGAGGTGGAAGGCCTTACTGGACAATCACATGGTGGAAGGCAAGAGAAATCAACAAAAACACTAGAGGTGGAAGGCCTTACTGGACAATCACATGGTTCTGAGAAGACCAAAGCGACAGTACGATCAATGGAGACTACATCCTAGTCTCAGGGAGGTAATACTAAGAAGGGCGCGGGGAGCCGATCCCCTCTAGGTAATAGATGAGGATTCTAAGCTATAACTGCCATAGGTTGGGGAATATGCGAGTAATAAACTCCCTAAAGGCGTTTTTACGTCAATGTTCCCCCATGTGGTCTTCCTCATGGAAACTAAACAAACGGAAGCCGAAAATGAATTGTTGAGACTTATGCGGGTACAAGAAGAGCATAGTGTGGCCAGATGGTGATCTCACCTCGTAGTCGAGCGAGGGGTGTGAGTTTGTGGTAGGAGGAAGAAATGGCGCTTTACAGGGATTTATGGGTGGCTAGAGAGTAACAACAAGAGGCACACCTGGGAGCTTATTTGCAGCCAGAGTGAGGAGTGGGACAGACCTTGGCTTTGTAGAGGTGACCTAAAATAGGTTAGCACCACTAAGGAGAAAAGTGGCAGGAACCACGTGCATGAAATAGAGATGAGTAATTTTGCTGACTGTCTCACTAATTTAGGTTTGATGGACATCAGATTTCAAGGTTATCCGTACACGTGGCAAAATAAGCGAGTAAGAGGGGACACATCGAAGAAAGGTTGGATCGATTTGTAGCGAATGAGAAATGGATGTGAATGTTTGGGGATAGTCAAGTGCTTCATGGAGATTGAGCTCACTCATACCAGCGCCCTATATACTGTGATACGCGTGGACATGAGGATGAGGAGATTCAGAGGGGATGATACTTCCGGTTTGAGCCACACTAGTCCAAACATGATGAGTGTCCAAAAATGGTTGAAGACTTTTGGAGGTTATCGAGTGGTTGGGATATCTTGAAGAGGTTGTCTCATTGCCAAGAAGAACTGGAGGTGTGGAGCAGGTGGACTTTTTAGTCTTTCAAAAAGCATAAGGATCAGATTAACAGGGCTATTCACGCTATTGAACGAAGGTCAAAGATGGAGGAGACTCCCACCCAACAATGAGCTTTGGAGAATGAGATGGGAAATGTCCTAGATATTGAGGACAAGTACTAGAAACAACGATCTCGAGCGGATTAGCTGAATTCAGGCGATATGAACACAACCTTTTTTTTTTGTAAGAAGGCCTCTGCTCGACAAAAAAGAAATACCATTAAAAGAATTTAGGATGAGACGGGATGATGGCACGTGGGGCAGGAGGAAGTTACTACCTGTTTGGTTGATCACTTCGTTAGTATGTTCACATCGGGTACGATCCCTACCTCATGGTCGGCCCTGAACTCATTGGAGCAAAGGGTTGGAGAAGATGACAACAGAGAGCTGTTGCGCCCCTTTACGAGAGAGGAGGTTTGGGGAGCGTTGAAAGTTGAAACAGATGGGGAAGCGGAAGGAACCAAGAGTGGATGGTCTCTTGGTCTTCTTTTTCCGCAAATACTTGAGTGTGTTAGGTGATGATATTGGGGCGGCCATACAACAAGTCTTGGAGATGGGGACGATGTCGGGAGATTTGAACCATACTATGATTATCCTCATCCCCAAGATAAAGAACCCGACTTCACAAAAGGATTATTGCCCCATCAGTTTATGTAATGTCATGTACAAGATTGTGTCGAAGGTGCTTGCCAATCGTCTGAAACTGCTTCTTGACAAGATAATATCTCTCTCGTAGAGCGCCTTTGTGCCAGGGCAGTACATTACAGATAACATAATGACGACATTCGATTTTCCACACAATGAAGAGAAGTAAAAGGTAGCAATTTGAATTCTATGCAGCAAAGATAGATATGGCAAAAGCCTATGATTGGGTCGAGTGGCGGTATCAGGAGGGGGTGATGAAATGACTGGGTTTTTCTGAACGGTGGATATCTCTCTTCATGATGGGGGTGACAACGATCTCGTACTCGGTGCTAGTGAACGAGCACAAATCTCTTGTGTTCATTCCAAGAGCGCTACGACAAGGTGGCCCTTTATCACCGTATCTCTACTACTTTGTGAGGAGGGATTGTCGACTTATACAACAAAAGCAGTATATGAAAATAGGTTGCATGGTCTACAGATGATACCGGATGTCTCGATGATTACTCATCCATTTTTTTTGACGATAATATCTTTTTTTCCAGGGCCAATCAATAGGAGAGTCTGGAGCTGAATAATATATTGCAGGCATAAGCGTGAGAGTCCGGGAAAGTAGTCAACTTCCAGAAGTCCGAGGTCTCTTTTGCAGCCAATGTCAAGCCCCATAATAAATTAATTGTCAGCTGTACATTGAGAATGAAGATGGTGGAGAAACACGAGAAATACCTGGGACTGGTGACGGAGGTGAGCAGATCGATGAAGGAGTTGTTTAGCAGACTTAAAGAATGTGTAAGAAGCAAGCTGAAAGGGTGGAAGGAGCACACAATGTCGGGGTCAACACGCAAAGTTCACATCAAGTCGATGGCAAGGCAGTTGTGGTCCCTGTACCAGAGGTCGGACTCACTTATAATAATCATTTTCAAGGGGAAGTACCATAACAACAACTTGATTTCAGATGCATGTGTGGGTACTAATGCGAGCTTCGTGTAGCGGAGTCTACGAAAAGCGCAAGAATTCTTGTGCAAAGGGCTTCGGTGGAGGATTGGTAACGGGGCTCAGGTTAGAATTTGGGGAGATCGATGGCTACCGAATGCGGAAATGACTTATATATATGCAATAACTAGAGGACTACTAGTTGATTCGCTGGTTCGGGAACTTATTGATCCTGATATGGACAAATGGAATGCGCAGCTGGTTGAGAGTTGTTTCCCGACACTGATAGTTCAGACTATCCTGGCTATTCCTCTAAGGGGAAGTACCGAACACGATCATTTGATATGGAGTCATAGTGATGATGATAACTATTCGATCAAGAGTGGGTACAGAGTTTGGCTCAATGATTTTAAGGAAGGGGAGGGTATTGTGGTTGGTTGAAGGAGAGGTTTGGAAGGCTCTATGGGGTATGGAGATTCAACCAAAAGTTAAGCAGTTCATGTGGCAGTTTACAAGAGAAATCCTCCCGACTGGAGTTAAGGTGAGTGCCAAGAACAGCAAGTAGAGGGATATCTGCCCCTTTTGCAACCAGCAGGAAACCCAACAACATCTCTTATTTGACTGTAGCTGGAGCATGAGGATATGGCGAACTTCTTCCTTTTCAAGAATTTTTTATGCACAGGGTATGACGGACTGCCTACAGCGGGTCACAAAGGTAATGAGGGAGGCGGATCAAGAGACACTCGAGCAATGGTCGATGCTTCTTTGGGCAATGTGGAAAGAACGAAATAGGTAGTTATTTAACGGTAGTAAATGGCCAAAGGACGAAGTGGTCGCACGAGCTCAGGATATGCTCGATGTATACAGCTCACATCATGAGTGAGAAGCGGTCACTACGCAGAACAGACACTAGGCCACATGAACGAGACCTCCAGCAGGGTGGATGAAGGTTAATACCGACACGGGGATCCTGTCTAATACGGGAGCGGGACTAGGGGCTGTTATCCGAGATGGGCGGGGTCGTTTCATTGTAGCTGCGGCCAAGAAAATTAAAGGGAGGTATCATGTGGAGCTAGCAGAGGCGTTGTTCGCTGAATTTGGCATCAAGCTGGCTAGACAACTAGGGTATCAACGTGTGGAGCTTGAAGTGGATTGTCTGCCTTGAGGCAGCCCACATAATGGCACATAGTGAGACTCGTCGGGAGATTCAGGAGGTTTGGTTAGATCGACCACCGATATTCCTTGTCGACCAGCTTTTGCTAGATGAAGTAAATATGGGTTCGTCTTAATACTATGAAGTAGGTTACCCATAAAAAAGTGGTACTGGGTGCATATATAATAGAGTTTATTGACACGCCAATCCATTTTCTTACTTAAGTGGTATAATTCTCCAAATTCTCATACTTTAGTGGTACCAGAGGTATTTTGCCCGCATGTTGGCTAATTGAATCTTTTTACTTTTATTGGTCTTACTCATACTCCTCTGTGATGACAGTCCCTATTGCGGTACAATCACGACTTGATTGGTTGAAGAATAGCAGACTAGAATAGTTCGCAGAGGATGAGACTATATGCGTAGGTTGGCGAAGACAAGACGAGGATGGCCATACCGTGTACTGGAGGGGACACAACATAAAATAACATTGAGCGAAAGAAAGAGTCGGTATAGGAAAGAATTTTCAGGATTGCAGCTAATCGTGAAGGAGACGAAGGTTAGATTTAGATTTTGGCTGGGTCAAGGGGCTAAGGAGCAAAAAGCAGGGGAGTATGACCTAAAAAGAGCACGTGTAGTGCGCGGGGGGTAAATAAATAAGCAATCTAGTGCGTTGCTTATTTTGAGCTGAAAATTCTTTCCAGTTCAACATAGAAAGATCCTTCAAGTGGCCACTTGCAAATGACCACCCATGGGTTCCATCAAAGACTACTAGAAAAGTACAAATCCCATAAAAATTGCATCTGGCTGATAATGTTTTTTCAAGTATTTTGTTCATGCAAGCAACAAGTACATTTCTAACCTTCAAAACTTGAGTAGCAACCGTTTCATGAAAGCCTCTGCTACCCTCAGCTAATGAAACTCCTTTCTCTCCAAAAAGAGGTTTATGAATCCCCAAATGGTACAGTAGAGTGCTTACAACATTTCAAACGGCACTTGAAAAGAAGAAAGATAACGAGGCAGCAGGATAAGGGAGCATGTAACAGAACAACAAGGCAAACAAGTCTATAAGAAGTAACTCTTTAGACATCCATTAGTCAAACGACCAACCAGAATCAAGTAATATAACACACCAAATACCTCCCAGGCTCCCACAAAACTGTCAAAAGTAAATAGTTCACCAAAATTGCATCAAAATGAAATCAATTACCACAGTGTTTAGTGAGTAAAGATTGGGTCATTTCTTCTAAGAGGTCTATAGGTATTCGAACCATACTTGAACTTTGAAACTTCATGTTTAGCCAATTCTGGAGGCACAACACTATTACTTTGTACAAGCATCTGCTTGAAGTCATAGAACACATTAGTATCCTGAAAAGTCAAGAACGTCGTCGCAACACCAGTCTTTCCAGCACGCCCAGTACATCTAATACGATGAGTGTACCCCTCGATAGAACCCATCATGTCGTAAATGATCACATGAGCCACGTTAGGAATGTCGATACCACGACCAGCAACATCTGTAGCAACCAAGACATTGTACCTCTTTGTTCCAAAACCCTCTAGACTAATCTCTCTGCTCTTGAGACTTCCTTCCAGAATGGGGAGAACAAAAGCAGCAGTCTTACCAGAACTAGTCTCGCCAATACCGATTACATCTCGCTGTCGCATACCAAGTGAAATGACAACCATTTGAATAGGTGAAGGTTTCTTGTATCCAGCTCCATACACAGCTTTCAAGAGCTCTGGGCTCAGTTTGCTCTCAATCCAGCTCCTCATAGGGTGAGGAATCTTGGAACCCTTGTAGGAAATGTTGAAATCTTCTCTAAAAATCCTACAATCTCTATCAGTAATCTCTTCCAGCTTTAATGCCTATCAACTCTCATGTAGAAATAATCATAAATCTCCTTAGAGCCTCCACATAACGTGATCGAATTGCTACATTAACTTTGTCCCTATTAAAACACAAAAATAACTAAAGAACAAACGATAAACTGAAAGGTTTTCTTCTTCATGATAATCGAGCTAACATCGTAAGTACATATATATAACTATAGGTGTCAACTATAGGTGTCAAAACAGAACCCTCCCCGACTAACCCGCCTGATCAACCCGACCCGCAACCCGAATTGACTAAAAGTCAATAACCCGTAACCTATCCGACCTGCAACCAGATTGGCCCGCAACCTGATTAAACCCACAACCCGATTAACCCGAACCCGATTGACTTGAACCCGACTAACCCGTGACCCGACCGACTAACCCGAACTCCACCCAATCACTTGAATAATTATTAGATTATATAATACACAGTGCTTCAAAATGAATTTTTTGATTCTAAAGTTAGGTAAAATTATTTTTTCAATTCGTATAGGGAATTTAAAAACATGAAACTCACTTGATATTATGTATTTTAATAAGATTACAAAAATCGAACATGAAAGTCGCTTGAACACTAAGGGGTCGTTTGCTTGTCGGATTTGAAAAATGAGGGTTTTGGCTCAAAAAAACCTTTGGATTTATGAGGGATTTGTACCATCATGGATTTGAAGAGTCTATTGTTTGCATGATAGATTTGATGATATAATTATGATGGATTTGCTATAAATATAACTAGCCATCAAGGATTTACAAATCCTACCTCAATATGTGGGATTTACAAGTCCGTGGGGTCCACGGATTTGGATCCAAAAAAGGGAACAAATCCGTGGACCCCACGGATTTAACACCTGACAACAAACAATGGACTTGCCTAAAATCCATTATGCTTGGGATTTGAGTCCCAAATCCATCAAGCAAACGACCCCTAAGTTCTTTAACAAAATTTAAAAATTAAATACGAAATATAAAATCAGCACAATGTCAATATTGATATTGAAGATAATAATTGATATCATTGACAATGTTAATATAATATATATAAAACAAATTTTTGGTTAATTTAACTATTCAACAAAGTTATCAATTAAATATAAATAGAGTAAGGTAATTTATTTTGTAATCTGATAGTTTTAAAAGTAAAGGAAAATTTAGGTGTTTTCAACTTTTTTGGAAAGAGAAAGAAGAGGGAAATTTTGTACTTTGTATTTTATAGAAAATAAACAAGATGGAAGTTTGGTGGTTTTTTGAATTGTGGAAAGAGAAAAAAGTAGAAAAGTTTGGTTTTTTTGATTATGAAAAGAGAAATAAGGAGGAAAATTTTGTGTTTTCAACTTTTTGGAAAAGGAAGGAAGTGGGGAAATTTAGTTATTTCAATTTTATGGAAGAGAAAAAGAAGGGCAAATTTATTGTTTCTAACTTATGAAAGGAGAAAGAAGGAGGGGAATTTTAGTATTTTCTTTCTTTTTTTGTGAAAAGAAAGAAGAAAATAATTTTAGTGTTTTCAACTTTTTGGTTTTTCAAAATTTTAGCCATTAAAATATATGAATCTTTAGGTTTTATAAGAAGAGCATGACTAATTAACTATATTATGCTCTTATATGGAATGACTATTTGACTATATAAGATTTGAAAACCTATAATAAGTTATCTTATATTCAATATATTATCATTCGAATTATCTCAAATGCATGTTATTTTACATTATAAATTATATACTTAATTACTTATAGATCATATGCTTAATCAAGTTTTTGGTTCTAAACTTACACAAAACCATGTTTAGAGTATAACAAAGATCCCTCTATGTTTTGGAAATCAAAGTTTGAATTTCAATTATAATTAAATATAGTAGCAAAATCATAAGTCATAATAATATATGGTTAGGGTATATGGTATATGGTTTAGAGTATAACAAGGATCCCTTTTTAATTTATGTTTTGACAATCGAAGTCTGAATTTCACTTTAAATAAACTATAGTAGCATATCATAACTTGTAAGGCTATATGGTTAGGGTATAAGGTTTGGTTTTATTTCACTTTAAATAAACGAATATGAAGTATGTAACTCAATGCGCTGACCCAAAAACCCGCAACTCGAACCGCCCGCAACCCACCTGAACTGCAACCCGATTGACCCATAACCCGATTGACGCGTAACCCGACTAACCCGGAACCCAATTGACCCGTAGCCCGACTGACCCACAACCCGACTGACCCGCAACCTGATGAACCCGAAACCCGACTAACCCGTAACTCAATTGAACCCAACTCGAACCCGCCCGATTGACACCTCTGATGGTAACTCTAAACTAATCCTAATCCCAATCCTACTCGACACCTCTTTACTTGGCCGTTACTCCACTAGAATCCTTCTCATATAAGCTAACGTTGCATACACCGATACATGTGACAGATCTCCCTCCTTCAAAAGAACTTTATCCTCGAGGTTCGAGTTTAATTGACGACTAAATCCAAACCATAATAAATCCTGGATGATAATGAGAGCTCGAGGTTGCTGCTTGCGCCTGCGAGACTTCCAATTACATTCAGGAACTCGAACAAACCCAACGTCAGCAGCTCCTACATACATGGGCGTTATCCCTATGATGAACAAATGGGTTGCTTCAACAAAATCAACTCCTTCAAAACCCAACACGAGACTATGAAATTCATCTTCCAGTTCCTTTCTACTCCCAGTCCACCCCTGCATGGCGTGGCACGACCATTAATCGACAGCATCAAACCTTTTACCAAACTGGACCTGTTTACACTACAAAAATAATCGTGTACCACATTGATTATTTACAAGACATTAACTAACTTTATAAGGTCAGATCAACAATAACAATTAATGTATTTAAACTGGGCCTACATACTAGATTTTTAAACCCAAATGATAAGGCCTGACATGACGCGTGAGAATAAACTAAGTCTGGTGTTTCATCGCGACAAGTCTCCTCGCGTCAAGTTGGTAGACCCCCTTGTCGCGACAAACCTCCTTGTTTAAACACATCGCGAGTCTACAAGATATGTGGGGAGAAGGTCACAAAATAAACTAAGTTCAAGCGCCAAGCCTCCTCGCGTCAGGCCACTTCGCGAGTCCGCTAGGCCACCTCGTCGCAAGTCCGCCAAGCCTCTACTAAGTCTAAGCGCCAAGCCTCCTCGCGTAGAGTTTGGTAGTAGCATTGTCATCATGTTTGACAAACCGCCTCGTCGCGAGATCTGGAATAGCCATGGTAAAGGAAAGGGCAAGTAACTAGACGTCAGTTCCAAAAGGGAGAGCCAACGGTTTGATTGAGAAACTGTCAATTACTCCATGTTCAAGGACACGTCAGCCACGTCCGGGAAAGAAGGGAAGCGGTTTTTTTTTTGAAGTTACTCTCCAGACAGTTTTTTACGACGGTTATCACCTCAAGCCTATAAATAGGAGGAAGAGTTGTCAAAGAAAGCCCCGCAAAAATCACCACTCGACATCATTTGTCAAGTTTTACCAATTTTATCTTTCTCCTGCAACTTTTATCAGTAGTCGTAGATCTGGAGCTCTCTTAGAACCTCCATAGGAGTAGGAGTAACTTAATGTAGATCTGTCTCGAGAGTCGTGTAAACATCGATCACCCTCGTTCGAACTGTGTTTGAAGAGGTGTGAGCCGTGTCTTAGTAATCGTTGTCCAAAGAAGTCAAGGTGCAATCAATATCAATTCAACGCAAGTTTTCTCGCCAGAAAACAAATTTGGCAGACCTGGTGGGACACTTGTGGTCGATTCGATGGCTCCGAGGCGGAGGAATCAGGAAGGTGACGTTCCGGCTGGATTCGTGGAGGAGTAGGTGGCCAACATTGAGCATGACCAAGCGTCCGACGCCGTGGCCGGAGGACACGGTGGAGTAGAGATCTTGGTGGCGACTGCGCCTGGTGGAGATCTCGGCGAAGCAGTGGGGGCCCTTCGTCAGATGATGGAGGAGAATCGCAAGATGGTGACTGACAACCTTCGAGCCACGGAGGAGAACCGCCAAATGCTGATGGAGAACCGTCGCATGTTGGAAGAGACTCGGGCTAGTACTCATCAGGTAAATTCCCAAATGGACTGTCTCAATTCTCGCTTAGATAGACGTTTTAGTCAATTGCTTGAAGTAGTCAACAAAAATACAAATGAGGTGGATCAACTCCGACAGTCTTTAAGCAGACCAGTAGTGTAGTCAAGAGCTTTGCCATTAGATGGCACAAGCCTAACGCCTACTAATAGTGTTCTTTCTTCCGCCGGTGGTCGGAATGGCCAACCATGGCAAGAGAACTTGCCGCCTCAAACGGCAAGCCAACCAACTCCACGTCGAGTAGGTGATGTCGAGATTCCTGCTACAACTCAAGTGGGGGAATCGTCACGGGCACGCGTGGGATTTGAAGTGGTACCCCCACGTGGTGAGAACCTCGCCACCATGTTCAACACTCGAGTTGAGCAGCCACCCGTGCAAGTGGGTGCTCGTCTCTCTATCACGGGGCAAGACCCTACGTGGCTCCTATGAATTTGGGAGTAGGAGGAGGCCTAGGTGGTAACATGGATCAAATTCCACCTCGAGGCTACCCAACTCCAACGCCACCCCATTTCAATGGGCATGGCATGGACCCCATTGGGTTTGTACCGTATGGGGGGAAACAAGGGGGGCATGAAGCCAACACCCTTAGGGATCAAGTGGCTCAACTCCTCACGGAGCAGTTTGGCATGGGAGTAAGACCTGCCATGCCACCTGTATACCGTAAGCCGTACCCGGAATGGGTAGATAGACTTTACCCGTTT